CTTTATTTTGCTTGTTAGTTCAGCTTGTTCACTGGATTCCACATATGAGTGAAATCATATGGTATTCACCTTTCTCTGACTGGCTTAGTTCACTTAGCATAATGTTCTCCAGGTCCATCCATACTGTCCCAAAGGATGAAATTTTCTTCTTTATTTTATATTCCATTGTGTAAATGTCCCATAGTTGTTTTATCCACTCACCTACTGATGGGTACTTGGGCTGCTTCTGTTATCTTGGCCATTGCAAATAGCGCTGCAATGAATATAGGGGTGCTTATCTTCTTTCAAATTAGTGTTTTGGGTTTCTTTAGATAAACTCCCAGAAATGGAATTGCTGGATCATAAGGCAGACCCATTTTGAATTTTTTCAGGTATCTCCATACTGCTTTCCACAGTGGCTGCACCCGTCTGCATTCCCACCAACAGTGCAAAAGGGCTCCTCTTTCTCCACATCCTTACCAGCACTTGTTGTCTGCTGATTTATTGATGACGGCCATTCTGCCATTTGTGACGTGCTATCTCACTGTGGTTTTAATTTGCACTTCTCTGATGATTAGTGACTTCGAGCATCTTTTTGTATGTCTGCTGGCCATCTGTTTGTCCTCTTCGGAGAAGTGTCTATTCGGGTACTTTGCCCATTCTTTAATTGCACCGTTTTTTTTTTTTGCGTTGAGTTTTATAAGTTCGTTATAAATTTTGGATACTATACCCTTATCTGATGTATTGGAGAATATGTTCTGCCATTCAGTGGGTTGTCCTTTTATTTTGTTGATAGTTTCCTTTGCTGTACAAAGCTTTTTTAGTTTGCTATAGTCTTGTTTGTTTCTCTTTTGTTTCCCTTGTCTGAGGAGATATATCAGATAAAATATTGCTACGAGCAATGTCTGAGATTTATCTGCCCACGTCTCCTTCTGGGATTTTTATGTTAGACCTCCTTCAGGTCTAACATTTAAGTCTTTAATCCACTTTGAATTTATTTTTGTGAGTGGCATAAGAAGGTGGTCTAGTTTCATTTTTCTGCACATATCTGTCCAATTTTTCCTGCACCATTTATTCAAAAAACCAAGTTCCTTAAGTATAATATTTATTTCTTTAAATTATATACATGTTTTATTGTTTTGTGGCATGTCCTAAATTTTGACTACCTGTAGCTAACCATTTTTTTCAACCTGGATAGTATACATAAAATAAGGGACAGTTTTTACATTTATAGAATACATCTGTAGTTTACTTGTTCTTAATTCACAGAACAAAGTGAAAGCAAAATTTTACCTGGATATAAATGGATAGATATGCTTCCATCATCTTCCAAATGTAGCAGGATTTGGCAAATGGAAGTTTCAGCTCAGGCATTATTTTAGGCAAAGTGGTAGAAAATTTTAAATAGAAGTTCAAGAATCAGATAATTTCTAATCCTCTTACTCATCCATGACAAACTTCAGCCAGTGTTATACTTAAGGGCAGACCACAAAACTCTTTTCCCATAAGGACAAGGATAAGACAGGAATGTCTGCTCTCACCGGTTCCATCACCATTGCACTGGAGGAACAAAATGGTGCAGCGGACAATCCTTCAGTCCCTCTAGCTTTGGGGTTGAGTGGGCAGAACGCATGCATCTGGAGTGGGAGGTGAGGAGGAGATGTGGGAGAGAGGTCTCCTGAGAGCCCTGCCTCATCTCTGCCCAAGTCAGGAGAGAAGAGCTTTAAGGAGGCTCCTGGGGCTTCACCACGTGCCTCCTACCATGTGAGGGACACAGTAGACCGGTGGTGGCACCACATTCAGACAGCTGGCACAGGAGGCAGCTGAACTGGTCTGCGGCAGTGAAGTGGAGGGTTGAGGTTTCAGTGCAGTCCTAGGGTTCTCTGGGACAGAGCAGAGAGGCTTCCAGAGAGCCAGCTGTAGTCCAGATGAGAGATGGGGGTGTATCTTCAGGTTCCTGTCCAGGAGGACTTTCCTGGAAGCATGATGAGATGGCAAAGGAAAACAGCAGATATGCTGGACCCCAGGGGCTGAGGAAGAACTAGCCAGCTCCATTCACCTTAATCAAAGTTAGCTGCCAGCAAGGAATCCCTATAGACAGGGGTGTGGTCAGGGAAGGGCCTACGAAAGCACCCACAAGATACAGGGGCTTCACACAAGGTCAAGCCCAGAGAGTACCAGCACTCAATTATTGGAGTGGGCGGGTCCGCTAAAAAGGCTACTGCTCCCAACTCGTCCAGCCCCTTCCTCTCCCTCCTTGGATGTGTCAGAAACCCTGGTTACTGAGATGGGAATTAGGAGCAAAAATATTCGGTACGAAAAGGCAGAAGAAACCAACAATTGCCTCCTTCCTCCCCTGCAGAATCAGGGAAAAGGAAGCCTCAGTTTTACATTAGGTTTGCAGCTTGATGATGTCTTGGAACAGGGTATTTTAGTCAATAGCATGTGTGGGACTTACTATAACTCTACTCACGGAGGTGGGACCAGAGAAGTCAGGCCCAACACCAGTCTTTGAACCATCCAGGTTCGGGAGAGCTGGCGTCACAGAGTGGCCTTAAGGGGGAAATGGAAGCCTGCAATGAAGCTACTTTACAATCACTGGCCTTTACCACACCGTCTGCATTCAGGATGTTTAAGTCGACTCTCCCTATACTGGATAGCTTTTCATCTTTAAGAAAAAGACCTCAGTTCCCTTAAGTCTTTTCTCTCCCACCTCAGGACAATGGTAACTAACCAATTACTCGAGCCACTCCTGGAAGTCCCGGAGCACTGCATGCATCACTGTGTCATCGAGCTCACGATGGTGTTGGCTAAGTGACTATCCAGTCCAGTCTCCATCCCACTCACCCTGGACTAGGAATTCTCAACCACAGGAATAGCGTTTTACTCGCTTTGGGCCTTTTAGCCTGCAATGCATTAGGCTTCTATAAATGCTGCTTTAAAGATATACTAGTTGAATGAATCAGTGAAGGTAAACTTACTTTTTTTCAGTGAGAACCAAAGAAATTTAATGCTCTGACTTTATTCCACTTTTTCATGTCCCAAATTCTCTACTGATTATATATTTAGAAGAATAGTTTCCACAGAGACAATGAAATCTTCTGATGTACTTATTTGTTTAAGGTACACACTCGATTTAAGGTCACACCTCAACATAATGTGTCGGGTGTTCACACTGCAGTAGTATGACGGACCCTTAAGAAAAGGGATTTAGAATTTTTCTAATTTTCTGAGGATGTGTTTATTCTCACCCAAGAGAAACCACTGGCAGGATTTCCCAGCACAACGCTCATGGGGAGAAAAATATCTCTATTATGAAATATTAGCCAGATCCTTCAAAGAAATATAAAAACATTTCTGCAAGTCATTTTCATGGAACTCTACTTTTTACCACTCCGATTGTGTCAAAATGCATCCCCTATATGGGGCAAAGGAAACTGAGCTCAATGAACGAAACAGAAAACCAACGAAGAGGCTTCATTATATTCTTTTTCAAGGTCATGACTATTCAGTGTACAAAGACACTCAATCATAGAACCAGCAGATTTTCTGCAAGGATGGACCTGATGTTATGCAAATAAAATTCATTTTTATCTGCTGAAATTACCATAGGACACTGCTGTATCCTTGTGGCTGGAGATTTTGTTGGGTTCGTTACCCCAGTGAATGCCCTCTGTCTCACTTTTAAAAGTTTTATCTGAGTTTTTCTAAAAAAAAAAAAAAAAAAAAAAAAAAAAAAGACACTATTTTTGAGCAGTTTTACATTTACGGGAAAACTGAGCAATTTTTTGCTGAGCAAACTGTAGCTCAGGGGAGTGCAGGGGAGCCAGCCAGCACCGGTGAGTCCTCTCGTGTTCCCAGGAGGACACCGGCCATTGAAGCTGAAGGAGGCTGGAGATGGGCCACCAGAGGTCCAGAGTGTAAAGTGGATAAACATGCAGACGATGTGTTGACCAGCTTCCAGAGCTTGCTTGAAACAAACAAACAAGCAAAATCCTGCCTCATATCCTCGAAACACTTATGCAGGTGACCTCATAAGCCTTTTTCACTGTTGGCAGTAAAACTCAAGCTGAATTTCGAGTGGGAAAGCCAGCTAAGTCTCACTTCTAATCTGTTGCGAACTCAAAAGAAGCAAAACGCAACAGATTTTACCAACTGCATTGCCAACGGAAATGGAAATACAGGTATATAGCAACAAATTTTTGGAAGACAGGCCAACTTTGGTCAGAACCCGAAGATGCTGATAGTTGACAGGACAGTTTGAAAGTCTTCTCAATCTTGACTGGCCTGATGCTGTGAACCTGTTATTTATTCTAATAATGCTTATGTAAATATCATTCCTTAATGCCTTATCTGTATTTAAAGAAATACAGAGACGACAAAGACACAGCATCAACACAGGAATATATGGGATTAAACACGCTTTCTTACGAATCCTCATGAACATTAACTCCTTGCACAGAGTTTTCTGGTATGACTCAAGGCCATTCATTGCCTGTTACACTAAGACACATGCTTTTACATTATTAAGTAAGAAAAACAGCTAAGTTCCTGTAAGCAGGTCTAAGTCACATCACTAACGTATGAGCTGGTTTGAGTCAGCAGCCTCTAAGAAGTCCACAAAATCTGACATTCAAAGCAAGTTATTAATAGGCTTTCAAAAATGTTAGGGGAAGAATAAAACTTCGACTTATACCTTTATTATCAATCCAGAAAAATGTAAATAGTAAGCTGTGCCAAACTGGTTTGCGGCAGCCTTTTTCCTCAAATATTTAAAAGCAACGAGCAACTCAAATGCCACGACTGAGTAAGTCAGTGATGTGATAGTGGAAAGAAAGAGGCATTTCTTAAATAAATTAAATAGTACACTATTGAAGTCTGGTCACCTTACGCAGAAGTGGCGATCTTTCTAACTAACTTACGCAGACTTTGGGAGAAACGAGGGGGTTAGCACACCTCTCTTTCATTGCGCGATCGCTGTGGTTATGAACTGGAGACCACGTCAGGGCACGTTTTCTTACCACGGGCCGGTGCACGTCCCAGAATGCTCTCTCTTGGCTATCAAGGATTTTCCTTTCAATCTTGTCTCGTTTCTTGTCCACTCTGTCAACATCATAACGAAGAAGGAGACACAGTGTTAATTGTAGTGCCTCTCCCTGAACAAAAGGCCACAACTCAAACCCATCTCCCAGAAGACTCACAAGGACTCACTTTGCTTGCGCTTCCGCTTGCATGAAAATGAACTCCCACTTCCGAGCAAACGCTCTCTGCAGCCTGGCCAGGCTCTCCTGAAAAACACGGCACAGGGGAGACATCCCTGCGTTCACCTTCATTACCCCCAGCTAGTTTACCTACCAAATGTGTTTATCAAGAAGACAAATGCAGAATTCCTCTGGACTGAATGCATCCTGCCCCCTGAAGACAGCTAATCCTCGCATTAACAGTCACAGAGAAAAAGGGGGAAACCTATTACAGATATTAATTTTTATGAGTGATTGAATTTAAAGACCACAACTCCAAATGTGAAATATGACAATTAACTTCCGGACTTTTCTGCGCTTACTTTGCTGTTTCTACTACTGATCCAATCAGCCTGTCCGGTTCTTGACAACAGTGCACACCTGTGGCCGCCTACTACCCAGGTCTAGACAGCATTTCAAATCCAGCAAGTCACAACACAGCAATTACCTGAACAGATTACATCACTGATGGGGACCAATCTGAAAGTTTTGCGGAAACCACTTTCCCATTATACATGTTCTTTAATTCTCTACGTTTGCATATCATCAGTCTATATAAGTATATATCTAAAATTTCCCCACTTAAGTCAGTTTTGCAAGTAAAATACGCTTCCCCCTTCTACTCTGAGTTTGTGTGTTAAGAATTTCATGGTTTTCAATGAGAGTGAAAGCGAGCAAGCCAGTCAGAGGTTTATTAAGTCTTACGCTACGTGATCCCTTGGAAATCTGACTCTTGACACCCACGATTGGAGAAACTTAACCCAGTGCCCCAAAGTGGCCATGGGCCTTACTCCTGCCCATTTTGTCATTTCTTTGCCGGAATGTCCTCAGTACTCACAGCTTCATAGTCTGCCAGCTCCAGCCTGGCCTTGTTCTGCATCGTTCTCTTGCAGAGGTAAACCGCTGAAAGGAAAACATAAAAAGAGATCCATCACTTCCTGCCTGCTTACTAACACTCGGGTGCTAAAAACAAAAGCACAGCATTGCAAATCAAGACATACTGGTCTTTGTCATTTTTTCCAAAAGTTGGAATTTCCTTTATTTACCTTTTTTTTAGATAAAAATAATCATTTGTAACATTATCACTGGAATCAAAATATAGTGGTTTTTATAAGAAAATAAAACAAATTTGAAAACTTGGTAACCATGTCTTTATTTTTATTAAATAGTTGTCACAATTTTCGCTTCTTCAAAAAACAAGGGGAGAAAGAGAAAGTCTTTCAAATAAGACACCGGATGACCTTAAACATCTAGCTGTACAATGACACTATTTTGTAAGGAGGAATTGCATGAAGAGGGGACCACTGCTGGCACATTCCATTATCACCACATTCTGCTGAAACTGAAACGATCTATCAGTGGGAACTGAGGGCCTGGTGGCTTCTTCTTTTCATACGGGCCAACCATCAATTGTTTTGCCACTAGAGGAGGAAAGAATACATCTTATTGAACTACAGTACAACGCTCTACTATTATTAATCCATTAAGTCTCATTGGCTGCCAGAGAAAAGTCCACCTGGGCGGCAGATGTACAGAGTGGATGACGGATGGAGAAAGGATGGACACAGCAGCATAGCCACCAAGCAGTTATTTCAGGAGTACCAGTGACTCTCAAAAATATCAAGATATTCGGAGCCCTCTGGTCCAATTCCAATGATCAGATTATCTTTATCATTTTTCCTAACAGAGAATATTTGAGTCTCACAAAATTCAACAGATGCTCTATCTGTCCTAGATGCTGAATGAAGCCACTGGATGAAGACTATCAATGTTTATGTTTGGTTGGACCAGCTCTGGGGGACGCCTTATAAATACGAAGCTGTACCACATACTGTTTTTGATAAGGAAGTTTGGCTGGTATCACCGAGGAAGTATCTTACACAGAAAATGGGAGACCACTGCAAACATTCGCACTATCTGTTTATGTCCCTTCTAAGGTTTCCCGTCTGAAGGTCAAGGCAAAGAAGAGCCAGCCATGGAACAAGGCTAACATCACTGCAAACACTAGGAACCAGAGGTGGAATTTTAGAACCCATCTTTCTACAACGCACCATGGTAACCGTATCTTTCTACTAACACTGGTAGCTTTCAAACCACTGATTTCCACAATGACTGATTTTACAAATTACTAAAAGCTAAATTGCAAACACAAAAGTGACATGAGGTGTTAGTATTCTGATTGCTGCCATCTGTGCTCATGCTTAGAAAAAACTCTAATGGTAGAGGCCATTGGTGATTGAAACAAATATCTAACGTATTTTCAGCGGTTGGTAAGAGAGATTGTAGTGCACACACACTATCCCTGAGCGTATCTCTCCATGAGGAAAAGATGGAATCTACTTAAATATCTAATTGAATGATTCCGGCTTTCCTGTAGAATTACCTTTAATCAAATTTCCAGCCCCAGCTAAGTGTTCCATCAGTCAGCCTTCCTTCATTCCTCCTGCATCAGTGTCCACCTGCTTTACCGATTCTGGCCATTTAACTTAATCTTTGTTCTTTTCAATATAAGATCCCTTTTGAAAACTGTATTTCTGAACTCACTAGATACACTAATGAATAAAAGCAAAAGGGGGGTCATTTTTGTACATTACCGTTCAAGAGGAAGTTACGCATCTTTTACTACAGCCGCATGTCCTATGACACAGTTTTCTTTAATTCCCTAGGAAACAGAATGAAGGTGTGGACAGGACATACTAGGTACACAGTATGTGTTTCCCACGTGTGTGCGGCATGAGTGAATGAATAAATAAACAGGATCTTTTCCGAAGGAGTTATTTAGAGGTCAAGTTAACTCAAGTGATTTCTCCTAGTCTCTTTGGTAAGGAGACAGAAAAGAAAAGGCTGGGCCACTCGAGCAGGAAGCATTCTGGGTACTGTTGAAAGCAGAGCCAGTACGACCATGAATGCCCGGGCTCACACCTCACCAAGCTCGTCTAGACATGGCAGAGTACGCTGACAGATACAGATGACACTTCCACTGTTTTTAGTTGAGTACCAACCTTGGGCAGGATGTGGACAAGGAAGAAGGTTTATGTGGGTGAAAGAGGGCTTCATTTCCAGGAAATACCCCAATTTATCGAAGATCGAAAAACATGAAGGTAGTTAGGCATTGTCAAAGGGATAGCTCAGGCTAACTGTTTTTGTACCAATCCCTAATTATTTAGGCACCAAAGATGCTCTACATGGTGTTATGTGTGGGCCTCAGCCCAGGTACAAAGTGGAAATCATTTACAATATGACCCTTGTTTTAATTTTCTGTATTACCAAACATAGTAAAAATACCATCTACAAAAATCCATTCCTGGAGTGCTGTGTAAGATGGTTTCCATTATCAAGGGTTTCACTTCAGTTTCAAGTTTAAATGCATCTCTCTGCAGCAGGTTTCTGGAAGACTAAAATGAGACAACTTTCTGGACTTGGAGGGTGAAACGAAGAGTAATTTAATAGGATTCTACATCACTAAGAGGAAGAAAGTTTGAGAAGGCCTAATGGACCACTCTGCCTATAAAGTAGCTGTGTAGAAAGGTCATTTAGAATTTCACTTTAACATGACTTAGAATGAGAGGTGGAAAGTCAAAGCATCCGGACCACACGTCTTTTTAACTAGGAAGTAAATGTGGACATTGGTTTCTTCCTTTCAATTTCCCAAAGCTCTGTGAGGTGGTCTGTTACCTGAACGCTAATGTCCGGAACAAAGCTGTTTCACAGCGGCCACTGAAAAAATCACTAAGATCCCAGCATCCACATATGTTGAGATCTGGAACTCTGGTGGCCTTCATTAACTGTGAGTTTGGACAAGTCACTTAACCTCTCTGAGACCCCGACTGCTCACTTCTATAATGAAAATAAAAAGTACCGGGTATCTCTGTCCTCAGGACTTAGGTCAGCTCTGCCGGAGACGGGGTACTGGAGAATGCTGTGTCACCACAAAGGGAAAGTAACACATGGACTCATTAGATAGATTGTCCAGTACGTTCGCTGGAGATGTTTCTGCTTCAAAGACAATGACACGTATTTTTATAAGTGCAAAGTCCCTTCACAAGCCTTGTTGGGTATAGAATTTCATATAAAGTTATTTATTTTTTTTCCAAGTGAGACAATACAGAAAGAGCCACTGCCTGAGTTTTTAAGTGCTCTATTTGTTAGGTACCTCTTCCTCATAGAACTTCCACGAATTAGCAGTGATAAGAATTTTAAATAATAAAAATAAAAAGCATATGTCTTATTCTGGAGTACACTGCTTAATGACTTTGAAACCTTTAAAAATTTACTTCAAATATGTTTCATTTACACATATGCCTAGTTTGGTTTATAACTAACAACTTGATACTATTAAATTATATCTTTTATTTTCAATTTTGTTCTTCACTCATTATGTTCATTCTCATTATCTCTTATCATCTCAATATTGAACCCACGCACACAACCAAGAAAATGACCAATATTTTCTGTGAATAGTGGCCCCTGGCTTTCAGGGACAAAGAGAAAATTGTTATTTGTTTGTTCATTCATTTATTCAATTCAACAAATAGTTACTAAATGCCTACTATGTTCCAGGCTGTGATGTGGGTGATGGTGTACAGCTGTGAACAAAACAGGCGAGAGCTCTCGCCCCCATGAAGTTACATTGTAGAGACAGTCCGAGGAGAGACCGCCTGGAGAAGCCAGAGAAGAAAGGGCTTCCCATTTTCCCTGCACAGTGGGGTGGTCAGGAGCCTGAGATGGGCCACTGTAATTTCGTACTCTACCCATAGAGGGCGCCACCGTACCAATTACTCTTTCAGTCTGGACTGATAAAACTAAAAATGGTCCTGTTACAAGGGTTTTAATAACCTTAACGGGATGAGGGGATCTATGTAGAATAATTGCATGGAGCTTCAAAGTATCTTAGTTCCTGTAGAAGAACAGAATCTGTGCTTTTAAGGGGAGAAAATACAAGAAGAGGAAAAAGTGAGACAAGTGTGTATGGATAGTGGATGCATTCTCAAATATTCGCTGAGAGCCTACTTTTTCAAGTGCCGAGGTTTTTTTCAGTCCCAGGGATACAGGGATGAACTCAGCAAATAATCACTGCTCTTGGCTTGCTTTTTACTAGTCTAAAGTGAGACCAACAATGGATAGCACTATAAAAAATATTACAACATCTGACATTTATTGAACGCTTTGCATGTGCCAGGAATTATTTAAACATTCCACACACACACACACACACACACACACACACACACACACACTACCTTGTTTAAACTGCATGGCCACACGAACAAGCGGGGGCTTTTACTTTTCCCATTTTGTAGGTGAGGAAATATAGGTTGAATGAGACTAAGTAATTCTTAGGCAAGAGTTAAAGTCAGGCATTTGACACTAAAACCCACACAGTTAAGCACTGGGCTGTGAGAGAGGGTAGGGGGTGGAGGGGGGAGGCCGAGAGGGTCTTCAGATGGTAGGATCCAAAAAGGCCTCTGCAGAGGTGACTTGAGTTGAGACCTAAAGAGGGAAAACGGACCAACTCCAGAAAGATCTGGGGGAGGAGCTCAGCAAGGAGGACAACCTTGTGCAGGAAAGCAAGCTGTGTGTAAGGAAAAGGGCAGGATGGAGACTAGCAGGGCTGCCAGAGCTTGGGGAGGAGGGCGGGAGAGGTCAGCTGCAGGGCGCTGGCCCCAGGAGACCCGGGAGCTCTGGCACTGGGCTGGGGTGTGGTCCCTAGTGTCATGGGAACCACTGAGGCTGGGAGAAGCGTGATATGACATGATACATTTAAATGTAAATTACATTTAAAAAGTTACTCAAGCTTACACCAGGCAGATGGATGGTAGAAGAGTGCGAGCGAGCGGACTGCATAAGTTTTAATAATAACAATAATACAATAGGACACAACACAACATAGTTGCTATCTTAAC